GGGCGCCAATGAGGAGTATTTTTCGAATTGTGAGTGTGCTCAAAAGCATTTGAATGAAATCAGGGAACGAATCAAACAGATTTTGAGTAGATTCATCGATCTAGAGCACCAACAAGATGAAAAAACATTCATTTGGCTTGGCCTTGACTCACTGAAAATGGCCACATTCGAAGTCAATCTTAAGACGGAATTCGCCAACGACTTCAACGTACCATACGGATGTACGTTTCGATATAGAACAGTTTCAATGTTAACTGAATACTTCGAATCACTGAAACATTTGAAGTCACTCGCAGATGGTAATGAGCACAGTGGCAGTGATTCTAACACAAAGAAATTTGATGCGATTGCGACTGGAAATGATAATGGATGTAAATACGAGGAGAACAACAATTTCATTGCACTCGATTTTGATAAGATCGATCGCAAATTAAGACGACTCATTCTAAAGGGCGGACTGATTCCGTTGAGCGCATCTCAAAGCCGACTCATATTCATGGCGAAGCTTGAACCGGAAAATGATGCACAATTCATTGAGAAAGTGACTCTTAAACTCACAAATCCAAACATCAAACGTCTCGCGACTGCCCTAAATCAATTGGTGTCTCATCAGACTATCTTGCGAACTAGTTGTACTTCCTCCAGCCAAGTTGTGCTTTCACTTAGTGAATCGTATTTTGCTGTACGAGTTATGGACGACTCACAATATCGAATGAGGAGCAGCGAACAGCTGACTGTGTTTGATGCATCTGTTCTTCGAATCTTACTGCAGAAAACCGAAGCAGGTTTTATTCTGCACATAATTCAGCATCATATCGCNACCGACGGCACTTCAATTGCAATTCTTATGCGAGAACTGAAAAATGCATATGAGGGTGAGAAGATTGAGAAACTTTCATTTCATTATGCTCATTTCGCTCTGCTCGAACAGCTTCAATTAAGTGATCAAACCTACGTGAAGAATCGCCAAAAATTCTGGACTGAGCAGTTCAAGAACTTTGAAACTGAGAAATTATTAACAGACAAACCAAGACAATCAATGCAAACATACAACGGAGCTGTTGCCACATATCAGCTGAGTGGTTCTGAGCTAGCAAAAGTCAAAGACATCGCAAGTCAGTTGGAAGTAACCCAGTTTGCAACGCTGTTGTCTATTTACCATTTATTCCTATGTGTTGTATGCGATCGAAGCGATTATTGCACTGGAACTGCAATTAGTCAACGCAATAATGCATATACTGAAAAGTTAGCCGGGTGTCTGGTCAATATTTTACCAATTCGACTTCAAGTTGATTCTTCAAAATCCGTCGGCGAAATGATCATCGATTCAGCAAATCTCATTAATGAATGTGTTCAGAATCAGTTACCATTTGAGCGCATTTTGAATCTGTTAAACTTAACGAGGGATACATCTTCATCACCATTGTTTCAAATACTCGTTGTGATGGATAATATTATTAACGCATCTGACCTTCAAAATGAATCGTCTCAATCAGGTGATCTTTCGCTCCAAGCCGAACTCATCGAAGAACAATCGAAATTTGTGAAGTACGATCAGATTTGGTATTTTCGGTCCATTGGTGATTGCTTGACAATCGAAGTTGAATATAATACGGACCTGTTTTATAAAAGCAGCGTTGAGAAGACTATTCGTGAGTTTGTTCATACTGTAAGAATAGCTGCTGGTTCACTGCATGATTCAATCAGTTCAATTGAATTGCAAACAAATGAACAGAAGTTGCAGAATTACACAGATCGTTTAAAAAATCGAAACGATTTTCCTATGAATTTAGCTGCAGGAGATATATTTCAGTCTCAATTATCCATGAGTGCTTCCACTAATTGTGTGGTATTCAATCGTCTGCTGTACTCAAGCATATTCTTGAATCGTCGAAGCAATTGTCTAGCTCATGTGATAAATACTAAATTTGTCGAGCATTGGGGTACAATATCTCGATCAGATACACCCATTATTCTGTTGATGAATCGCAGTGTAGAGATGATTTTGTTCGTAATGTCACTGTGGAAATGTGGTTTTACGGTCGTTCCGTTGAGCATCGATTGGCCTGAACGAAGGTACCACGATACAGTCAAAAGCTTGCCATATTCAACAATAATTACTGCAGACGATTTCATTGAGTCAACTCAACTACCTAGCGGCTGTCTTTATATAAATATTTCAACAGTGCTGAAGGATAGTACAACGTGCTCAACGAAAGCGATTCGAACGAAACAGAGTGTGTATGACATTGGTTACATCACCTATACATCTGGTTCGACTGGCTTAGGAAAGGGCGTTTTAAGTGAAATGATTGGTTTGAATAATCTGGCTGCAAATTACACTCGGTGCTTAGCACTCAACTCCGAAAGCGTTGTCTATCAGTTAGCGAATCATTCGTTTGACATTTTCTTTGCCGATCTGGTCGAGGCATTCACAAATGGTGCCACACTGCAGTTGGCCAGGAGGCGTGTTCCTGACCCGAAGGAAATGCATTCGGTAACGCACGCGTATGTGATGCCGGCATATTTGTCGCAGCTGGATGATACCAAAATGAATCAATTCGAGAAACTAGAGGCAGTTAACTTTGGTGGGGATTCAATTGATACGAACGTTCTGGCGAATGCAATCGATAGGGGAATTTGCCTTTACCACCAGTACGGTACAACTGAAACGGCTGTTTTATCAACAATGCGCAAGATGCGTTTATTCGATACGAACAATTCAGTCGGTCATCCAATGAGAAATATTCACTTCACTATTCGTAACTCCAACATGAAGCTTATTCCGCCAACTCGACGTGGAATCTGCTGCATTGACGGCGTTGGCGTCAGTCGAGGATATCTAGATATCAGACGCCTTAATGCAGAGAGATATCGGCGAAATGGAACGATTCTCAAACAGGATNAGAGGATAACCTGTTGAGATACGATCAAAGATATTTCGTGTCAGGTGATCTATTGGAATCTGATGTAAGCGGGCAGTTCAAGTTCTTCGGTAGAGCTGATCGCCAGGTGAAAATAAGAGGCCAAATTGTGGACATGAATGAATTAGAAGCGGCGCTAAGCTCCATTTCCACTGTCGAGTCATGCATCATAACAAGTCGAATGCAAAAGAAATCATGCATTTTGATCGCTCACTGTATTGTTAATGATCAGTACAAAAATTCGACGAGCGAACAAATCCAAAACTTACTCAGAGACATTCTAGTTGATAAAATACCCAATTTTATGATTCCATCGTATTTTCATTTCATTGATTCATTTCCACTGACTTCGAATGGAAAAATTGATCGTCAACGATTGGACGCAGACGTTCCGATGATAGAAAACTCCAGAAAAACTGACGATCAAACACTTCTGCAAATGACTGATTCTGAAAAGAAAGTATGCCAAATATTTGGTGATGTATTAGAAGTTGACTCAGTTACGCTCAAAGACTCGTTCTTTGCTTTAGGCGGAGATTCATTGAAAGCACTTCTTGCAATAGGACGAATCGAGGATGAACTTTCAATTGAGATTCCACTTAAATCCGTTTTCCATTGCAAAACGTTCCGAGAGATTCTTGATTCTCAAATCAAACGCTGTCATGAACCCAAAGGGGTTGACAGTGAATCATCACAACAACTGATCCGGTCGGAAGGAATTTCGGAGAGATTCTGGCTTGATGCTAATGGAATACCGTTGAGTTTTGCGCAGCAAACACTTTGGTTTGTTGAAAACTACGAGCAGTCAACACCGTTGAGCTATGTGTTACGTTCTAAGATACGACTACGAGGCAAAGTGCATCTGAAAGCACTTAACGCGACCATCAATTTCGTTATGAGACAACATCAGATACTGCGTACAATATTCGTTGTGAGGCGCGGTTCGGTTTCACAGTTGGTAACATCACTAACCGAATCATACGTTAGCTTAATCGAGGGAGATCCTTGCAATGTGGATGGGGGATGCTATGACCTACAAAATTCGCCACCACTCAAGATTTTCATGCAGCGGCATCGTAACGGAATTGACCTTCACCTCTATCTACATCACATTCTAACGGATGCTCAAACTTATACAATTATCCTCAAACACCTTATCGAAATCTATGAGTGGATCGTACTTGATGATATCAACACGTCATTCTCGTCGATAAGAAGTACTATCCAACAATCATATGCATTATATAGTTATCAACAACGTAAGAGCTTCAACAATCGAATGGACGGTGAAATGCAGCAATGGGTTGAACAGTTGCGGAATGAGGAAGCCTTAGAGATTCCGGCGGATTCCATTCGTCCAAAAGTCTTTGAGACACGAGGACGGATTCTGAGGGTTGATATCAATATCAAACGAGATGAAATTGGTGGATTTTGTAGTCGTTACAATTGCACTCAGTTCACATATCTTCTGGCTGCTTACGCGCTTGTGATGCGTACATTGAGTGGTCAACGTAGATTTGTGATCGGTACGCCAACTGCTAATCGTAGCGCGAAGTTTATGGATACTGCTGGGTTTTTTGTTAATTCAGTACCTCTGATTATTGATACGGAATTTGTGAATTTGGTTGAATTCATTGAATCACTTAAACAGATGTTCTCAACTGCCCTTCAGCATCAACATGTTCCATTCGAGCTGATCGTTGAACGTTTAAATCCCATCCGAGATCCATCAAGAGCTCCTCTTTTTCAGCACTCAATCGTTCTTCACACTGAAACTAACTACAAATTCACCAAACTGAAAGAGTTGACGATAGATATGGAGGACATTGATAGCGAAGAAGCAAAATATGATCAAACATGGTTTTTTGAATTAGGCGACTCTAAACTAAAACTCAAATTAGATTACTGTAGTGCTCTGTTCAGTCGATCAACGGTTGAAACCTACATCAAAATGTTCATTGCAGTTGCCAAAAGTTTACTACGTGCAACAAGTTTCGACGAAATTAATTACGTAATAGAATCTGAACTAATCAAAGAAATCCGCAAAAATCATCGCTGTGATACACCTCGAATAACACTGAGTCGCATCTTCGAAGCACAGTCCCATCGGTCACCTACGAATGAGATGTTAATGTGGTTTGAAGGTGATCATAACAGGTCCATAACATTTGAAGAAGCGCATAAATTTGTTTTTTATCTCGCTGGTCGGATGCAACAAGAAGCGATTTGTCAGTTTGGTGCTCCGCTCACTTCAGATGACTGCTTATCGATTCTATCTTCAGAAAATTTTCTTTCCGTACTCTCCATATTCGCTGTCCAGTTGAGCGGTTGCTGCTATTGTCCAATTGATTCAACTAATCCGTCGAAACGCGTTGATTTTATCAGACATGATAGCAGATCAAAACTCATCTTGATCTGTGATGAAACATATCCTAGTGTACGGGAGAAGTTGGTTGTAAACGTTGTGGAAGAGTTGCGAAAGTGGCGTCGAATTGGGAACAATCATAAAATGCGTGGAAAGTTCAACAGAACAAATATATCGGATTTGGCATATATCATTTACACTTCTGGTAGTACAGGTCAGCCGAAAGGTGTTTGCGTGGAACATCGAAGCCTGGTGAATGTTCTTGAACATACAACAAGATTCTACTGTATAAAGGAGTCGCAGAGATTCTATCAGTTCACAAAATTATCGTTTGATGCGAGTTTAGCTAATACATTTGGTTCAACGCTGAACGGTGCGACTTTATGTTTACGAGACGAGAATATGAACCCATTTGAAGATATTTGTCGCAGTTTACCTCTCGATGTTCTTCACATGACTCCTATCGTACTTAAGCAATTCTCTGACGCAGAAATAACTGAACTGAAGCCGAAATTAGCATTATGGAGTGTTGGAGGTGAGCAGTTACTCGACCTTGATGCAAATAAAGTGATTGAGAAGGGTATACCAATGATACAAGTTTATGGACCAACCGAAGCCACCGTATTCCAGACAACAATCAAAATGAAAATGAACACTCCACAATCGAGTAATATTGGTCCAACAATCAGTAATATGTTTGGTTATGTGGTTGGTGATCAAGAACAGCTTTTGCCTTCTGGTGTTAGGGGAGAATTCTACATGGTTGGAGAGAATATAGCTCGAGATTATATGAATGCTGATCGAATTGAGGGAGTGAACTTTACAAGTAATAAACTTCAAACGAGAGATGAAAATGCCAAAGGTACAAACTCAAGAGCTTATAGAAGTGGTGACATTGCTATGCGATTACCATCATCCGAGATGATATATTGCGGCAGAAGAGATACGCAAATCAAGTTGAAAGGTTACCGAGTGGAACTTGGTGAAATTGAGGCAGCTGTCAGCTGCCTTGATGGTGTAAGGTCATGTGTGACGATAGCGAAAAACGACCGATTGGTTTCTTTCTATACGGGTGAATGTCGATTGAGTGAGCACGAGCAGCTTGAGCAATTGAGTGAAGTGCTACCACATTATATGATTCCATCTAAACTCATTCGTCTTCAACAATTTCCGTTGACTCAAAATTCCAAAATTGATCGCAAAGCATTAGAAAGTTATTGTGGTCAAGAAGACGGAGTTGATCTTAGGATATTACAAAAGAACGATGATATCCAGGATATACTAAGGCGAATATGGAGTGAAGCTCTCAAAAAAGACAATATTAACGTTCAGGACAATTTTTTTGCATTAGGTGGTCATTCCTTGATGGCTACCGAAATTTGCTTCAGAATTCAAGAAACATTACAGATGAAATGCCCGACTCGTTTCATTTTCGAGAATCAAACAATTGAAAAACTAGCGAAATATTTGAGCGCTGAAGCTGTAACTGATTGTGCGAGAGAACAACATTCACCAGAGTCACACGTCGAAAATCTAGCTGGACTGAAGCATATCAGTATCGGTCCAGGTAAACAAAATCCTCGTAATGAAAGAGAAACGTCAAAGGAACAAACTTTCGCTGATGTTGGAAACAGCAGAGATAGCAGTACGGGAAAACCGCGGACATCAGATCGAAAAAGCAACTCAAAAAGATCGAATATTTTGATGCCGTTGAGGTGTTGTGATTTACAGAACCCCATCTTGCACATATATTATAACAACCCAGAGGGCTTGTATCTTCGTGCATATGAGACCGGATTCCGCATTCGTTTGAATAGTATCGAGGTGCCATTACTGCAGATGTGTTTGAATAGAATTCTAATGCGGCACGATGCATTAAGAACTTCATTCTATTGTGATTCGAAGGAATATTTTCAAGAGATTCATTCTGCGTCTGAGTGCTACTTAGCGATTCGATACAGCGATCCAAGTGGATCGAATCTTTTTGTCCCGTCGCCTTTCAAATCTATCCCAGTTCTAAGTTTCTTGGAAAAAACTAATGGTTCTGTAGAATTCATTTTAAAAATGAGTCACTTGATCACAGATGGACGTTCCATGCAAGTGATCGCACAAGAACTGCACACGGCATATTTCAAGAGGAGACTGCTGCCGAAAAATAAGGCGACGTATGCAGGTTTCACAGAGATGTATTCTGAAAAGATTGAACAACTCAAAGAGACGAACGAAGTGCACTGGCGAAATATTGCAGCGTCAATAGACGGCTCCCTTCTAGAAACTGATAAACCAAGAAAAGTTGGTGGGCGATTAAGTGAATGCGGATTCATAGTTGAGCATTTACGGAAGCTTAATGATATTGTTCAGAGCGTCTCACGAAAGAACGAATGTTCCGACTTCGCAACAATGCTAACAGCATTTGCTGTGGTAATGTCACGTCGTTTCCCAGAACGATCCAAATTTGTGATCGGTTGCCCCGTGGATATGCGTGAAAATCCACTCGAAAATAGCGTTGGATTTCATGTAGGAACGGCACCTATTGTGATTGATCCATTTGATGATCGTTTAGAAACTTCACAATTACTACACCGGATTTCGGAACAAATTCAACATGCTATTCAACATTCTGCTGTTTCATCTGATTTCTTGAGTTCATTGTTCGGAAATGATGATCCTACAAAGTGCATGATGGTACTCGACAATTTCAGTTACATCAATAGGGTCACAGAAGACTCCTTCAGCGCGACTGATGAAAACAGTGGTCATACAAAGTATGAATTATGTATTTTTGTATCACAAAACGGCTCAGACATAACTGTTAGATTCGAATACGTCAAAGAGCTTTTTTACGCTGAAACCGTAAGAGATATGATAATAGAGTGGGCGAGATGCATCAAACGCTTTCGAAGTGATGCGTTCTGCATCGATAAATACGAACTAGGAATCGTGCATAACAGTACTGACATACCCACAAC